AAGATTCACAAACTTTTTTTGCAATTTAAGAAATGAATTTTTTGGTGAATTTACTATTTCCTAACATTTTTTTGCCCAGTTCTAGTCCTAATATACCCCAGCCATAGGCAAAAGACAGAAGACACAATCGTTCTTCCCCTGCACATCTGTCTGATAAATCTGCTACAACTCTGCCCCCTTCTCTGTACACTGCTCTGTCCTGTACCAGTCCCTAAAACACAGGTTCCTCTCCTCTATGCATAGTGAAGCCACCCTACCTAGTTCTGTTGCCAGGGGGATCTACAAGGCCTTGGAGATGGCGCAGACATGGGCTAAACCCTAATACGTTGAAATGAGAACAGTCCTCTGATAGCTGAGGAATGCATAAAGCTGCCACTGAGGTATACCTACATGTTACATTGCAACTTTTTGGAAAAAATAAGATCAATCACTCCTACTTACAAACGTATAAGTAGATTACAGAGCCAATTAATATTTTAAAATATATGTTGTTTTCTTAAAAAAAATCATTGAAAATATTGCTGACCACTAAACACTTTGGGTCTGATACTCCGTTTCCTTTCCTCCTTTATAGATATTTACATAATTGTAAATATTACCAGTCTGATCTAGCAGTGTTCATTCGCACTTTCCACTGATATAAATGTCAGTACAAGGTGCAGCACAACTGAGAATTGGACACGATATTTTAATATATATATAGAGATCCTACCTCATTCTGGTTTAATATTTTCAGAGTTTCTTTCTCCTGAATCTCTAATCTGGAGAGTCCAAGATGATTTTTCTTTAGCTCTTGGTTAATTGAATGCAGGTTCCTAACCATCAAGATGAGTTCACCAACCTAAATACACACAAATGATCAGAAACTATAAAATGCTTCCTAATACATAAAGAAACAGAGAGATTTAAATACCTTTAAATAAAGCAATACTATATATTAAATTTCAGGGTTATAATGTTAGCAAAGCTTAATGCTTCCATCTCTGCCCAAGGGATTGTATGCATTTGAAACCAGTAACATTGCACAAATATATTAGAAGCTAGTGTTCAAGGAATGCTAATTTCAAAAACTTCAGTCATGAAGCTCAGGTTTTAAAATTCACTAGCAAGAAAAAAGTTCAAGTACTATCATGCCCGCAGGTTAACTGGAAAAAAGGTATTTGAAGCAAGTAAAAGTTATGTTATGGGAACAGAGCATTATAATTAAAAGCATTAAAAAACAAGGAGTCAGAGTTTCCAATTTATTACAATTTCTGTGCCAATATAACTTAATGGAGTTGCATTTATGTAAAAGTAGCAAAGCGAAGTGGAGAACTGGATCCAAAACACTTTAGCAGACATTAGCTATCTATAGGTCTTAGTACATCAGCGTCCTTCGTGCCCAAACTTAGAGCCACGTACATACAGGCAGTCCCCGGGTTACGTACAAGATAGGGACTGTGGGTTTGTTCTTAAGTTGAATTTGTAAGTAAGTCGGAACTGGTACATATTTTGGGGGAGGGATGGGGAGCTGGAGTTAGGTGGAAAAGACCCTGATTCTCATACAACTTCCTTATTCTAAGAAAAACACATACTGTTTTGATACGAAGGTTTTTTTGGTTGATATTTTAATTAAAAATTGATCATAAGTTTCAATGTTTCATGCTATATTCAAATCTTCCTTTTGGGGTACCTGAAAGATCCCAGTTATTCATTTAATAGTCAGAATCTTTGTTTTTTATAACTAAAAAAAGTTTATTCAATTCCAAACAGAATTTGCTACAGATGGTTCAGTGAAATGGGTATTAAGTGTAATCAATAGTCATTGGAGAGCACAGTGAAATATTGATACAATCAAAGCTGTTGTATTCTGCTGAGCAAAAAATGGAAATCCCTTCCTGTGAAGTGTGTGTGTGAATTTATCCACAGGATTAATTTTAAAGAAAAATTCTGTGTTGGGAACAGGAGGTTAGCCACAGGTGGGTCCTCATTGTCCACTCACCCACTTTGCAACCAGACCCATCCCCTTGGGGCTTACCCTGCTCCGCTCCAGCCAGGGTGTGGGGTTGGGGCTTATCCCCTCTTCCCTTCTGTCCTGCTCCTCCCCATTCTTGCCCACCCACACCACTGGGTAATTTTTCAGCTTCAACTCTGTCAGGCTGGAAGGGACTTGTTAATTTCACGTGACGCTAACAAGATACTTGCAGCTCTAGTGCTGAAGAGGGAAAGTCCCTTTAGTTCATTCCCAGCTTCTGACAAATAGAGACTAGAGACATCATCCCTGCCCATCCTGGCTAATAGCCATTGATGGACTCTATTGACATGTTGGGCTTTGGATCAAGCCCTAAATTCAGAAGAATTAAAACCAAACCCCTAGGGGAAATCCTGACTCCAATGAAGTTAACTGGAGAATTGGTGTTGTTTTTAGAATCACGGGGGGTGGGGGGGCGCTAGCTCCGCGTCTCCCTGGTCTGCTGGGGGGAAGTGCCACCCACACCGCCAGAGGCGGCGACAGTAGGTGCGTCCCCTCCCTCCCCCCGTTTGTAACTAGGGATCTGACGTAAGCCAGATTGATGTAACCCGGGGACTGCCTGTACAGGAGGCATGGTCTAATGGACTGAGCACAGGTCTGAGAATCAATCTGGACTCTGCCATTGACTCTCTGTATGATCTTGGACAAATCACTTAATCTTTGTGGGTTTCAATTTACCAATCTTAAAGGTAGATCTATGAATACCCACATATCTTTTCATTGGCCATGAGATTTCATACATAGAGAGATTTGTAATGGAATTTTATATTGAAAATCATTCTTTAGACTGAACCCATACTAGGTGTATGAGAAGAGAAGATCTGGGTTCCGTCTGTAGCAGCATCACTGATGTAGTAGGTCAGGATTTACTGTTGAGGTATCCTGACAGGTCTCCTGCTCCATCAGTGATGATAACTAGAAGGCTGCCTGTTTATGTGATGTGTGCTGATACTCGGTTTCCTTTCCTCCTTTATAGATATTTACATAATTGTAAATGGAGTAAAACTTGTGCAATTAGTCAATCCAGCAGACTCTGAGAGAGCCCCCAAAGTCCACAAATCAGATAAAGATAGAAGGTGCCCAGCCAGGTTTATTGTAAAGCAAAGCGCAGTAATAGTTGTCAGTAGACTCTACTGAACCACTACGCATATGTTCTCTGTTGGACTCAGCTCATTGCCTCCTGGCTGAATAAAGACAGTCCCCCCTAGACACCACTTTATATACCAGTACAAACAAGTTACACATCACTCCTGATGTGTCAGGTTATTACCCTCTGATGCTACTTAGATGCCACCCATCATCACCCTGTGGTTTGATTAGATCTACCCAACATGCTGTCATTTTAGACCCTTTCCTGAACCTGAGTTTATATATGTGGGGAGTGTGGGTACCAAATTCTTTTTAATGAGCTGGTGTTACCATCCTTTTGGAATGTGCTTTCCACTTAAGATCAGTACCAACCACTGTTTTATAGTCAGTACCTAGTACTAATTACTGTTCTACACCTGGGCCTATTACCAATTAGTGTTTTATTCTCCCAGCCCTTTTCATGCCAAGTTCTGTGAGCAGGGGCCTGCCTCTTGCTCATACTTAGCTTTGCTTTATATTAGCCAAGTGTTGTCCATTGTTGGGTAGACCTCAGATGAGACCTGTGCTACATGGGCTTTTTGTTTCAGGAGCTCATCTTACTACACCGTTCCCTATCACAGTTTTGATGAGTCACCTTGGGCAAGTCACACATCTGTGTGTCTCAATTTCTCCTTCTACGGAATGCAGATAAATCTTAAAAAAAAACCAATGAATGGTCCTGCAGCGCAGTAGAGACTAACAAAAAATGTAGATGGTATCATTAAAAGTTAAGTATTGGGCTTACAGCCCACTATTAGCCTCATTTAACACAGACAGGCTAATTCACAAGTTTTTTTCCCCCCTTTTCTTTCCTTCCCCATCCCCTTTTTCTGCTATTTATTTGTAACTCTGGATGGTTTGCTCCATTGATTTGAAGAAATGGGTTGTGCCCACACAATACTATCTAAATTTTTTGTTAGTCTCTAAGGAGCTGCAGAACAATTCATTGTTTTTTATTTTTTTTCCAGTTACAGACTACATGGCTACCCTTCTGAGAATGCAGAGAGTAATTCAAGTCTACCTTAGAGGGGTGTTGTGAGCCTTACATCAAATGTATCAAATTTCTCAAAGCACTTTGAGATCCTTGAATGGAAAGTGCTATTGAAGTGCAAATCTTAATCATGATCATCATCTAGTAAGGAGGAATTTGCGAAATGTTCTGCGCTTGCAGATTTTACTTAGAGTTGCTATACAGCAGTGTTTCTCAAAGTGGGTCATGGATCTGCTCTTAGAAAGTTGCTAACAGCCTTTATGGTTTGTTTACTTATGGGCTCCAGAGCCATAGGGAGCCGCAAGAAGAAGTGAGGCTCCCCTTGTTCTGCAAATGGCAAACAGCAGCCAATGAGAGCCATGAGGCATGGATGCAGAGCCAATAAATAAATAAACCGGAAACAGCTTGAAAGCACTGATAGCGAGCCATACAGATTAAGGTCAGAAGGCACCACCAAATCATTTAGTCTGACTGCCTGTCACAGATGAGAATTTTCAATTCTTTCAGAATATCCCAACTGTACCTAAATAATCAAAATGGTTTTGTGAGAGAGAGAGACAAAAACTATAAATATAGGAGAGTTAAGCCATTAAGAACACTGAATAATAAAACAGATCTGAACCTTTTTTTTAAGTTCTTCAAGCGACAGATGGTCAATCTGTAGGTTTAAATAATCTTGCTCTCCTAGACAAATACTCATATAAGATGTTTGATCTCCACAAAAAGAAAAGGTTTCATCTGTCAAAATAACCAAGAGATGGCATCATTTCAGGTACATTAGTCTTATATATAAGAATAAAAACAGATAAATGCATAAGGACATTTTAAAATAAGTGCATACTACTAAAACTGTAGGAACTAGAGAGTTAAACATTTCATCCCTCACGTTAAGCTTTCTGTTCAACTGAAAGAACTTTCCCCTTTGCGCCTCTGACATGTAGACATGCTGTATTTTCCATGGTTATCAGCATGCATTGTGAATCTAATTTTGAATTACAATTTGCATATTTAGTACTACATTTAGAAATAATTTTCAGGGAGGAAAAATAAGGTTTGAATAATTATTCTCTTTTAGCCAGAAATGCATGAAAATAAACTAAATTCCCAATGATAAAAGCCAGGTTAAATAAAGTTACTGAATTTATTTGGTTCAACAGACTGAATGGACATTTCTAAACAGTACACAGTGAACAAACCCTACGTAGGATGGATGTAGTCTAGTGATTACAGTAGGAAATACATTTAATTTTTATTTCTGTAGCTGCCTGGTAAGTTTGTAACTCTCATGTTCATAACTAGAAGGTTCTACTATATTAAAAAGCTCTTTTATGCTTCAAGGAACTGGTTATTTTTTTCTGCTTCTGAAAATGCAGGTCCTGTTTTAGAGAAAATCCATTTCTCTAAATAGAGGCTGTTTATCAAATATGTTGAAAGAATTAGATTCCACCACCAGGAAGTGATCCCATGACCATGAAATTTCATAAAGCCAGGAATTCATGAGTTCTGCAAAAAACAGTAGATATGGAATTGCAGGCAACTTCAAATGATCACTGCAGCAGAACTGCCACTGAATTACTAACATTGGCTGCAGGGGAAGATAAAAGCTGTCCCTATATCCTGAATGCTCAGTTATAAATTCCCAAAGCGATCAGTGTAAGAAAACAGACAAAAGATCTTTTTACACCTTTAAGCTACTCTCACCTTCTATGCAGTAACAAACTAGGTATAATAAAAACAATGCTCTTGTGTTCAAAAGATAAAGCATAAGGCCATGTTACCATGTATACACAAACCTTCTTTATTTTGTGTGTCCTTAATTTGATCCTCCAGCACCTTCCGTAGATTCTGATTAGCTAAAACATCTTCCTCCAGTTGTTTTCGCAACAAAAAAATGTTGTTCAACTCCATTTGCAGGTTATTTATACTAAACAAAAGGAAGAAATCAGAAAGCTTATCATATTTCCTTTGACTACCTTAAGGAGGGTTCCAAAGAGGGAGGAGAGAGGCTGTTGTAAGTAGCGACAGATGACAGAATGAGGAGCAATGGCCTCAAATTGCAGTGGGAGATGTCTTGGTTGGATATTAAGAAAAACTACTTTACACGGAGGGTGGTGAAGCACTGGAACAGGTTACAAGATGAAATCTCCGTCCCTAGAGGGTTTTTAAGTCTTGGCTTGACAAAGCTCTGGCTGGGATGATTTAGTTGGGGTTGGTACTGCTTTGAGCAGGAGTTGGACTCAACCTTCTGAGGTCTCTTCCAACCCTATGATTCCATAATTTCCTTTAGGTTTCAATTCAAAACTTATTCAGTGTTTTCCTGGGTTACCTACAAGTGATGTTAAGGACTAGTCAACTATTGATAAGCATATAAGCAGGATACTCGACTAGTCGCTTCCCCGCTCCCCATTTTCTGAGGCAACAAGGGGAGGGGCGGGGGACACCCAGGCTCCATGCAGAGCTGCCACTTTGAACAGCACCACACAGCTTATCCAGGGCTCTGTGTGTGTTTCAAAGGGGCAGCACCAAGTGGAGCCTGGAATCAGCTGTGCGGCGCTGCCACTTTGAAACGCCACCACAGTGTTTCAAAGCAGCAGCGCCACTCTATCAATGAATCAAAAATGCATCCACTATTCGAATAGTCACTTACACAATAATCAACATCCTTATTACCTACCACAGCATGTTGGACACGTCAAGGCTTCCATAAAGACATATCTGCAATCATTGTTTTTCATCATACACTTATCTTGATTCATGCAATAAACAAATCCCTGCATAGCAATATGAAAATAATTTTTATGCCTATGCCACCTTTCTAAGGCCTGGTCTATACAACCTGGGAAGGTCAAATTAAGATGTAACTTCAGCTATGTAAATTACATAGCTGGAGTTGACACACCTTAAATCCCTGTCCACACAACAGGAGGTTTGCTTCAGTTGGCTTGCCTTACTGCTTAGGAAGAGGAGGAGTACTGGCACCAATGGGGACACCCTTTGAGTTCGATGTAGCAGGTCTATACTATACCTGCCAAATCTAACCCCAGAGGATCGACCAAGGCAGCATCAATCTGTTTTAAAAACTATTATTTGAGAGTCAGCCTCAACAAAGTAGATTTATTTTATATCCCAACTTCTAAATAATTCTTTTTCAGGAAAATAAAAAAACCCACTAGCTTATGAAAAGAATATCTGAAAGATATCACTAATGTGCTGTATTGCTGTTCCTGACTATTTCATACTTCAATAATGGAAACTGTGGCAAAATCCCTGACTTGTGTACAAAAAAAATTTTCATTCCAGCTTCTAACAAAATGACAAGCATGCTGCTGACGGTACTTTTCCCACAATGACTGCTTTAACCAACACTCCCTCTCACAAGAATATATTTTAAGAGAAAGGTCTCGATACTATTAAATGCTCAGCAAAATAAAATGCACTTCTAAAAGCCAAGTAAACACACTACCTTCCCCTCTTGACAGCCTATTGCTTTTACTAGAAAAAGTAACAATTTCTTGCTGTGGGGAGACAAAAGAGATGTCCTGGCTCGGAGGCAAAAGACTCTTCCAAAATATAACCACTGAAGTGGTTTAGATTAAATAATAGCTAAAAAAGAGACACGTGTCAACCAAAATCAGGATATATTCTTTGTCTAAAATCCATTTTATCAATGAAGGTCAGCACATGACTACTGAAATTATTTGCAGGGATTATCTAACAGCACACTGGATCTACAGGTTCTGCTTCAAGCCCTACCTGATGATTTAAACAGCATGATCCACATGGTGTTGAACTGGGGGATCAGAAGACCACACTGTTTATCCCAGCAATTCCACAGCCTCCCTTTTTGACCATGTGTGACATAGTGGGGGCTGTCTGCTCTGTAACCCGGTGTCCCCCTGCATTGTGATGTGTGATTCCCATTGATTCATCCACATGTTGTGATGTAGTGTCAGTTCCTTGCTGGATGCAATGCTGTGGGCTGTGGGCGACCCCTACTGGCCTCTGTCTGTGAGCAGTGCCCAGCAGGTGGGCTGCCTAGGTCACAGAGACAAAGACCCAACCGGTCAGACCGGTTGAGGGCAGCAAGGGAACTAAGGAAAGGAGTGTGCCCAAGGGGTCTAGGGCTGCCAGCCCTGACTCCTTATGTCCACATCACGCCTAATTACAGCAGTTCAGCACTTGTGTAGTTGTTCTACGCCAATGGGAGAGAGCTCTCCTGTCAACAAAACGGAACCATCTAAAGGAGAGAAAAAAAAGAGGTTACTCACTTTGTGCAGTGGGGTGTGGCGCACCCCTGGATGCCAGCGTGCATGCATGATACCGCCTGCGCAGTAGATAGTTTGTCACTGCGCATGTGCCAACAACCATCACTTAATTCCTTCTCTACCGTGGAGAGATGTTACAACTCCGAAGCAGAGAGGGGGAGGGAAGAACACCGGTGACTGCACAAGGTCAGTAACCTCTTTTTTCATCTTCAAGGCATGTCCCTATGGATACTCCAATGTAGGTAACTAAGGAGCAGTGCCCTAAATATTTGGAAGGAGGGGCTTTGGACATGAATTGTGAGTGGTGGACAGAATCACCATTCCAAACTTACTACATTGCAAGGCATACCTATCTATTGCATAGTGTTTTGTGAATGTATGTTTTGAGAGCCATGTTGCAGCCCTACAATTGTCAGTGATAGGCATGTTATGAAGGGTAGCAGTGGAGGCAGCCACTGCTCTGGTGGAGTGGGCCCGCAACTCCTTTGGAGGTGAAACTTTGCATAACAGGTTTTGATGCAATTAGTTATCCATTTAAAAAGCCTTGGTTTGGAAATAGCTTGTCCTTTAGAGTGAGCTGTATGGAGAGAACAAGCCTCGAGGAGTGTCTAAAATGTTTTGTTCTCTCCAGGTAAAAGGCGATGGCTCAGTAGACATCCAAGGAATGGAGGCAAGCTGCGCTGGCATCTGGATGAAGCTTCTGGTAGAAGACAGGTAAGTATAAGGGGGTATGTCTACACTACAGCACTAATTCAAACTAACTTAATTCGAATTAGTTAATTCGAACTAAGATAATTCGAACTAGTGCATCTAGACCTCAAAACAAGTTCAAACTAGCGTTTTGCTAATTCACACTAGCATGTCCACATTGAGTGGACCCTGAACCGAGGTTAAGGCTGGCCGGAAGCAGTGCCAACAGGACATCAGATTAGGACTTAGAGCGTGGAGCTGCGGTCTCAGGCTAGCCGAGGGCTGTGCTTAAAGGGACCTGACCCCCACCCCTGACAGACAGTTCTCAGGGGTTCCCCGCTTGCAAAGCAGTCCTGGCTTGGAGTGCCCACACTTGGCACATCACAGCACTCGGCCATCAGCCCGGCTGCACTTGCCGCAGGCTGCCATCCAAGGGGGTCAATCGGAGGGCTGCAGGAGAGTTTCCACCCCAAGGAGCCCGCAGAGCCACTCCAGTCCTCCTCATCGGGGCTCGTACCCCATTCCTCCCTCACCTCCTTCCACTTACCCCTCCCTAGCCCCTCTTCTTGATGTACAAAATAAAGGACACGTGTGGTCAAAAATAGAAACTCTCTTTATTTAACAAAACTCGGGGAGACTGGGAAAAGGAGCTGGGAGAGGGGAAGAGAGAGGGTGGGAGAGGGGAGGGCAACTAAAATGATCAGGGGTTTGGAACAGGTCCCATATGAAGAGAGGATAAAGAGACTGGGACTTTTCAGCTTAGAAAAGAGGAGACTGAGGGGGGATATGATAGAGGTCTATAAAAGCGTGAGTGGTGTGGAGAGGGTGCATAAATTAAAGTTCTTCATTAGTTCCCATAAAAGGAGGACTAGAGGACACCAAATGAAATGAATGGGTAGCAGGCTTCAAACTAACAACAGAAAGTTCTGCTTCACAAAGCAAATAGTCAACCTGTGGAACTCCTTGCTGCAGGAGGCTGTGAAGGCTACAACTAGAACAGAGTTTAAAGAGAAGTTAGATAAATTCATGGAGGTTGGGTCCATGGAGTGCTATTAGCCAGGGGGTAG